GCCAGCAGAGCTTTGTTGCCTAGGTAACGTGGAGTGTTGCGGTCGCGTCTGTGGCACCGCCCCTTCAACTCTCGCTCGGGCTTGAGTTGGTTGGTGTGCTTGCCTTCGTATTCCTTGCTGTGTTCCTCCCCAGGCTCCTCCTACTCCGCTCCGTTCACCTTGACCTCCAGACAGGGTCCACCTGTGGTGTACACCCCTCGCCCCCCCGCTCCATCCCCCTACCATTTCATATGGGGGTGGGGGCTCCTCCTGCGGCCCCTGCAAGTGCGGCCCATATCCTCCAAGTCTCCCAGTGCGATCAACCGCAGAAGAAGAAGAAGAAGGAGGCCCTGCGGTTTGCTGAGACGGGCGACGCCCTAAGCTGGTGGCGCCGCCGGCGGCGCCGGCGGCGCCGGCGGCTGCACCCCGTCCTCTCCCAGGTGCCGCTGGAGGCGCGGGAACACTGGCCAACGGCTCTGGCTGTACAGTACGTCTGGCTGCAGGCTGATGACGTCTGTCTCTGGGTTGACACGGGGGTGCCTAGACAGCAGAAACATCCACACGTTGCCAATACGCCGCAGTTTGTATGCATACAGCACGATCAAGGAGCGGCTGGAAAACCACAATAGTTAAGGCTACTTAGGACAGTAAACAGGCGAAATTGCTCTAGCACTGCTAGAAAGAGCTCGGGTGTATGTTGAAATAAAGCTGACGGCGACGGACGCAGGCGTACCTGTTCTGCCAGTCTTCTGCGCACGGATGCGAGCTCCGTGTTTGCATTTATTTGGAGTGCGCACTGAAAAATTAGAAAAGCCAGGAGAGAAGGAACCAAGACGGCGGAAATAAAACACAGTATCGACTTGTGCTGGCGGGACTTGCAAAGAACGCGACGATCGGTGAGCTGCTGGTCTGAGACCGGGACATACGACCCCACAGCCAAATCTTGTTGTATATCCAAATATACTTCAGGTTTCGTCATTGGGATATTCTATTAATTCCAGAAATTCAGTCAACCGGTAAAGGCTTCACGAGGTCCCACACATCGGAGAGAGTAAGGATCAACACCAATCAGCAAACAGGAAAAGAAACAACTGAGATCAAGCAATAGTTTCAAAAAGCTAATATAAAATTCCCTCCAACAAAAAATTCATTAAAATAATATATATCTCAGGTGACTCTGGCTGCCGACGACGCCGTCGAACCGCCGCGTAACCTTGAGCGATGGGGCTTCCAGTAGACAGCTGCAAGCAGTAACAAGCCTTCTCCTGCTAAGAATTAATATCGTGTGCTTACATAAAAAGTATACAAGAAATTTATTCCCGGCGTGTGTGGCTCCGAAAGGATCCCGCTTGAGTGAGCCCTACTCCTGTGTAGCCGAACCCAGCTGAATGGGTGATCGCTGATGCTCGCCCAACCCAACCACACTCCAGCAAAAGGCATCGTAACATGTAGTAATATTCAATCACAAAATACTGATTACGATCGTTTGCAGGGTACCAACAACTTGTCTTTCCGGCAAGACGATGCAGTGCAAAAGTACCTGTATAGCGGGGTGTGTGCTGACCTTGTAGCAAGATCTATATGGAGCTGGGGTTTCTACTTGCATGCAGGCTGGCTATGAATGGCCAAGTATGTGTCCCGTAATCCTCAGGAGTGTTATTGCTTGCAGCTGATGGGGTATGGGTTGTGCCTGCATCTCGGCTTACCTTGCAGCCTTAGTTGCAGCAAGGTGTGCTGGGGAGAATGCCAGGCCATTCATCCAGCACAAGCCCTTAGGCCTTTGTGTCGCTGCGCTCGGTATACTTAGTAGCCAGAGTAGAGGTTTCCTTTGTTTCCCAGAGTATTTGACCCAGCTGCAGTTCACTGCAGTACACTGCTAGACCGGGCGCAATCGTTACACTTAATAGCACCATAAGGTTCATCGGGTATCTGCGACCAGCGAACTCCACCTCTACAGCAGCTGGAGGAAGACATTTAAACTGAACGCACAAACAACGCCCGTATACACTATTTGTTGCGCCGTTGCCAGCAAAACTCATCGAATTTTCATATGTTCTTCCCTGATACGGGAAAGATTTATAGTACAACACGGAGCCAATCGGCCCGCTATTCACCCGCTTCCCTGTCCTCCACAGAAACACCGATTTCTGAACTGACGTTGGGCCTGGTTGTTTTCAGCCAACCAGGAACCTATCTTCGCCACAACATGGATATGAAACAATACCAGCAATGTCAACTTTATGAAACGGGTCAGGGAATCACAGAGATATCTTCGAACTCTTCTCTGGAAAAGGAAAAGGCATCAATGCCATTGCAGGAAGGAGTAACGGGAGGAAACTGAAACTTTGGCCACACGTGTAAAGGCGTCCAGCGACCCCGCAAATAGAAAAGTAGTATTTCAAATGGATAGGAGGCAAACAACTGAGTGCGTTTCTGATTGCTGCATGTGTGCAGCAATTCCTTCAGACGCATTGAGGTGCCATTGTCAGCTCAGCAGCAGCCACTACAAGCGCGGATGTGCATAGTATCTAGTGATATTAGGCCGCATATATTTTATGTTGACAGTTGCCTTGCCAAATGTATTGCGGACTCACAACTATATTTCTGTGTAGTCTCCGGTGTTAATCAATTCACAGTTGTGATACACGCCCCTCCCTCTACTTATGGATAGCGTGGTGATTCCGGCGACGAGAGTTCCACTGTCCCCCTATGCTGCGTTTTGAAGCCCGGGCGGCCCCCTCGCCCCACGAGATTTGACGCTGTGCTTAGCCGCAGTTCACTACTTATTTTTGTTAAGTATTAAATGGGGCTCCCACACCAGGAGCAAGGCGCATAAGGAGTTATTAACCAGTGGTCACATGACTGCATGGACGTGTTGCAGCGACATGCATTCACGAACAGCCGCAGCAGATATACACGCTGGTAGCAAATACCACTCACCTTGCATCCCGTGTTTTCTTGCCCCCATTTTTTCGAGGCACGGATGGTGTGCATGCTGTCGTTAGTATCTTTGCGGACGTTCATGGGCCTTGCTTGATAACAATTTATTGAGTTGGCGAAAGCTGTGCTCCTCCCCGCACACCTAGCATCCCTTTGGCAGCCTGAACATCTTTGAGTTGAATTTAGAGCGTGGCTGTAGGTCCAGACTATCTGCGCACTGCTGCAAAGGTAGCTTCTCTCCCTAACGAACGAGTAAATCTGAGAAAGCAGTAGGAATCTCAGGCACTGAAAGTTACCTTTGCAGCTACATCCGGTGAATGCATGTATAATGCTAGGACAGCGGAAAACAGGTGCATATGTACATGGATGAGTGGGAAAGAGAAAATGTAGAATGTTGAATGATGGGAGCCTGAGATATAAACTCTACAGCTCCCAGCTGCATCTACGGATGCATCAAGCACAGTGTCACTGTCGCAATTCGTTCTTTCCGGTTATATTTCACTGCAATCAGCGATACAAGCAAAAGTTGTTGTGGAGGAGTTGCCTGAAGCGCCCTTAGAGCGCAACGTGTCTGTCCCCTTATTGTTAATGAAATATTTCAGGCGCATCTCGGAGTGGGAATTAGTGTTTCTGCTTGGATCATGTATTCGAACTGTAGTAAAACATTCTTCCCTCGCCCACTTTATCCCTTGGCGGAACAAATATTGCTTGCATATTTTCCGCCTCTCTCTCTCTCTTTTTCATACGTTTTGACTATCTTCAGACACACATACAATTTTATGTACGACCCTCTTCTCGCGAGTCGGATCCTCACAGCTGCCGTGAAACTAGCAAAAAAATTAAAGAAAGCGGAAGCTCTATCTGGGAAAGTGGTAGGTGGACCAGGACCTCACTAAACATCGAACGCGCGTCTTACTATTGAAGGCTCAGCACGAAAAAAAAAACTCTGTTACAATTAAAGATTGCCTTAACCTATACCACCAAGCCTCCCCTGCTTATGCATTGATATCCCAATGAATCATTACGCAAAGCCGTTAGTATTACACCCGAATATTAATGCAAAAGGAAGGATGTTTTGTTGTGTACAGGCAAAACTGTACCCAACGTATATAACTTTCCTGTAGCAAATCTCCCCTAGTATTTGTTTCTAAGGTTAATCTAACCACAACCTATCCGTAAACAGTAGGTCAATATACTCGCACAACATATATATATATATATATATATATATATATATATATATATATATATATATATATATATATATA